CCCCAAAACCCCAAAACCCCAAAACCCCAACTAAAAAGCTGAATTGATTACAAAAGCGCCATTCTCTTCACTAATAACTTTACCACATTAGCACAATGACATCTTCCAGCCCATTTTCCTTCACAATCTGCTCTGCTTTCTCTTGCTCAATCCCTCATTTCTCAAGGCCGATCACCTTCAGACTCTCTTTCAAGTCCTCTTCTTGTGCGAGGCCTGCCACCAAATTCTCTATCTGACTGGGCTGCTCTGCCCAGTCAGATCTAGAGCAGTGACCGCAGCCGGTCAGGTAGAGTTCCTGTATCAGACATCCCTTAAGAGCCCCCAAGAAGCAAGGCACAGAGGAAAGATCCAGGATTCATGAATCGAATGTGAAAGACCGCTTGTGCTTATAGGCTGAAAGTAGGGCAATTAAGTTCTCCTGACTAATTTTAAAATTAGCTATTCTCACCTCGATCCCAACTCTGCTGCTCACTTCAACTAGCTGGTTAGCATACTCGTCCAATTCATCACTTAAAATAGAATTATCGTTAAAGTTCAGCCCATCTAAATTCTTGGGGAAATAGAACTGCAGGAAATCTTTTACTATTGAGCTCTCTTCAAGCAATGAGTTTATATGTTTGTAAAGGAAACTAGTCTCAGTATAAGTGTATTCATCAATCACAAATAAGAGCTTTTGCTTGGCTAAATATGACTTATGAGTATTTCTCAGATTTAGACTAAGCATTACACCGCTTTGGACTATCAATAAATCGTTTAAACATTCCGTCTTACAGGAAATGCTGCTTCTGGACATTTAATTAAGTCATGCAGAAAGCATGATCAGCCCAGATTGGTAATAAGCGCACAATTTTTATGTTATTGATGTATAAGAAGATACTTAGAAGAAACTTAAGAAGAACACATTTTTAACCTACCTCTTTGGTACAGAATGTTGTCTCTGACTCTTACAGCCTGGTTTTCTAGACGTTCTCTTTTAAGAGTCTCAATTCCGTCCGAGATACTTTGCTTCAGCCTGAAATTTTCAATTTCGCTCTTATTTGCTTTCTTCTTCAAGCTTGCCAATAACCTTCTGCATTTCTGCTATATCTCTTTGCTTAGACTTCAAGGAATTCTTATATTCTTCTTGTGCTATATAGCCAAGAATGTTAGTTTGCGTGTGACGATTGTCCCAGCCTTCATATGACTTGGAAGACGCTTACTAGCGCTACTGAGACAGCACTGGCAAACAATACGGAGCAGCTCAGGCTAGCTTAAAAATCCCGAATGGAACAGGTCAGTACCTTTACTCTTTTCTTTTATCTGTGCCTTAAGATTGAGTCTCAGATTCCTAATCTTAAGTTTCTTCCTTGTCCTCTTTGATTGGAGCTCTGAGATTACTATTTAGAAGAATTAGAGGAAATTGGGCCAAAAGCTATTTAAAAACCCCGGATTTTTGGAAACTTACATTTTTGATGGTCCGACTGGACACCTCTCCTTTGAGTCTTAAGCTGGCTGACGGTCTGCTCTAGATGAGACAAGTGCTTGGATCTCTGCAGAATCAAGATCTCTTCAAGCAAAGGGTTGCTTTGGAAATTATAAGGAAGAAGAAAATTTTGGGGATTTTTGGATTCCTCAATTAGCTGTTCGGATATTGAAGCACTGTTTACTTGAAGATCGCCTGTAATTGCAGATTCAGCTTCTTTCCATAACTTTATAACAGCATATTTCTGGAAAATCTTATCTTGAGTAAGTATCTTCTCTACCTTCTTGGCTTGCTGTAAGAGACATTCAAACATATAGTAGGTTTTATTTTCTCTGAGCAGCCTCAAGTTGTATGAGGATATCTTCTATGTGTCCTTTAATCGTTAGGTTCAGACCTTCATACTCCTCAGGAGTCGAAAGATGCCCAAATGTGAATGGAGAGAACTCTAATTCTTTTCTACACTGATTGATGGTTCTCAACAGTGCTTTGACGGGCTCTGGAGTAATGAGTGGAATACATTCTTCATCAAGATCAACAGCATATTCATTATATCTAGCTGCCTTATCATCGCTACAGACATACTTGCCAGAACAAGTCAGGTAGAAGATAGATCTGTTCTTACATCCCTTGGCCTGGCATTTTGGAAATTTCATGTTTTGTTTTAAATAATAATTGTCAACTATATCTATCGATTTCGGGGTTTTGGGGTTTTGGGGTTTTGGGG